ATTATACTTCCATTCTTGTAGGGCTATCAATTCTGGACTCAAGCTGACAGTCACGGCAGCTTCTTAATCAATAACGTCCGAGAAGGAGTTTATAATCTTTATGCTTTTGTTCCTGGCTTTATTGGAGACTACAAGTACGAGGGAAATATAACAATCAAGGCTGGTAAGTAATAAACGACTTTCTCTCCGTCACATTTCATAAAAAAAAACCAAACCAACCAAGCTAAGCTAAGCTCTTGGTTTTGTAGGGTCTAAAATTAAATTGGATGAGATGGTGTTTGATCCGCCGAGACAGGGCCCAACCATCTGGGAGATCGGCATTCCCGACCGCACAGCAGCGGAGTTTTATGTGCCCGACCCTTTTCCGACTCTCATGAATAAACTATACATTGACCATGATGACAAGTCGGTTTCAAAAATTCTGTTCCACCCATTCTGTTTTGTTTTGTTTTAATCAAAATTTAATGATGTTGAGAAGTTGGGTTTGATTAACAGGTTCAGACAATATGGGTTGTGGGAACGTTATGCGGCTATGTATCCAAATAATGATCTTGTGTTTACTGTTGGTGTGGATAATTATACCCAGGACTGGTTCTATGCGCATGTTACCAGGTAAGTTTGGGGCTTTTCTTTTACATTTAGTTAGTGTTTCAGGGACTGATTTAAGAGATGTTTCTTGTTATCTTATGCAGGGATGTGGGGAATCAAACATACGAAGCAACCACATGGGAGGTCAGATTTTCATTGCAATCTGTGAACCAAACGGCAAATTACACATTGCAAATTGCATTGGCATCTGCTGCTGATTGCGAGTTACAGGTATTAGAGTGTGTGTGCAGAGTAGTGTTTTAGTGAAAGATTAAACTAATACTCTGTTATGTTGTGGATTTGAAGGTTCGGTTAAACGATAAAACGTCGAGCCAACCCGCGTTTACGACAGGAAGGATCGGAAGGGACAACGCAATTGCAAGGCATGGGATTCATGGGCTTTACTGGTTATACTCGGTGCCTTTCCCTGGCACTCAGTTTCTGAAAGGGAACAACTCCATGTATTTCACTCAGGCAAGAAGCCACGGCCCTTTCCAAGGTCTCATGTACGACTACGTTCGACTCGAAGCTCCACCTCGAACATAATCCCTCCCCCGTCTCACACAGTGTTTTACAATTTTTTTTTTTTTTTTTAAAAATTATAACTACATATTGCATCAAAGAAGAGTAATTAACTCAAAAACCACAGAAATTTAGCACACACAAATATAGGATTTAGTTTAGTTGATAAATTCGGCCCTTTAGATGGTTCAAAGAAATTGTATACTGTTCCATCAGAAGCTGTTTTGAGTTATGGCAAGTAATGACAAGTAGTGATTATGGGAGTGTGAGGTTTCTCTAATGTCAACTGTGATCAATTAATGACGTACACATTTTGTGGTAGAGTGTGTTCAGAAGCATTGAACGCCAGGTAATATACCTTACTGAATATGCGAATACATCGAGAATAGGGAAAGGTAGGTGGAGAAGAGTGGGATATGGAGGGAGGGAGGATGAAAAGAACCCGTGAGAAGTGTTATAAGTCTGTTTGTGGGTTGCAGGGGTTAGGATATAATGCATAGCCCTCACGGGAATCCACACACCCCTCTCTCACGTGTTTCTCTTTCTCCCTATTTCTTCATCTTCTTCCTATCTGCTGTCAATGCCTCACACTTGGCTGTTTTTAGTAACGCTCTTTCTATTCTCACGCCATTCTACTTTTCTCCACCGCATGCACTCACCTTCACCCTGCAACTCATGTTCCTATCTAAAAAAATAATAGCAGCGTGAATAAGTGTTAGCATAATCTACTTCATTGGAGCTCATCTATTTCATTAAAAAATTTTAGGGCTATTCTTTGCCGAACATTTTTTAACTACGAATATATTCGACACTTAGGGCACGACCCCTCTATCAATCCACATCATCACGTAATCAGATTATCTTGTATCACAAATCATTGTGGGTCTTGTTTTGACAGCCAACGATCAAGGATAAACTAGTAAACCCTTAACTACCTCCACAGAGTAACATGGTCGCATTATCTCATATCATAATTCCCTATCATAATTCCCTGAAATATTATGTGGGCCATAGTTTGACAACTTATGGTCCAGGATCGGCTAGTGAATCATACCCACCTAGGTGCATAATCATATCAGAGATTGCATAACTAAATCAGCTATGATAGCTCTTAATTTTCCTAATTTCACCTAGTATTCAGTAAATCATCAAAATTGGGCATACGTGCATACTTCAACCGTGGATCATACTTTCAGGGACCATAGGAATAAATTCAATCTCATTTCATCCTCAAAATTCAATACTAACCCATATTCAACTTATTTATATAATTAAAACGTAAAAATATTCTCGAATAACTAATTACAACCATCAATCTCTTAATGTGTTTCAATATGTCCAATTCAACCAACTACCACTCACGTAATCATGCTTCTCCTATAAGAAAAACCTAAATAGGGAATCCAACTGGAAAGATTGAATCCGACAACGGTGTTCATTGAGGCACTCTTCTTGTTCCCAAAAATTTTCCCCCTCTTTCCTTTGTTTTGTTTCAAATTTCTTCCACGATTCAATAGCTAAAGTCAAGGGAAGTTGATTGGGACATTTATGGACCAATATCTATTGCTAAACTAAGGGAATTGAGTCGGAGATGATATTGATACAAAAACCCTAGAAACCCACCCACCCAAGCCCGACCAGGATCTGTGCGAGCCTTATCACAACAACCTTGCCCACTCTCTAAAGAACCAAAGCCCTAAAAACGATAGTTTTGCAACACTTCACGAAACCTACTCCCTCTCTTCTTCTTCGCTATCTAATACACACATCCATTTCACTCAATAAAATAAACCATAAAACATAAAAAGAATACCTGCCCCTCAACACATATCCCCCTCAAATACTTACATTCTAATCATTCTTGCTTCTATACACTCAATGGGCTCTACAACAACACTGGCTGCCAATGATTAGGGATGTCTGGTCTAAAACTGGTTCCTTTATTTTTCCTTCCTCGGGTCCTTTTTAAGCTATGGTCGGGTCCTTTTTAAGCTATGGTCGGGTCCTTTTTGAGCTACATTTTCGATTTTATTTCGATGGGGGCTTCTCTATTCTCTTAATTGAGGACCTATTTAAGGAGTTTAAAGAAATTTGATACCTACTCACGAACCAAACCGACCATTAAATTAAAATTAGTGATTGAATAAAGTAAGTAGCCCCTCCAAACTTCAGATTCATAAATACTTATAAGATATGGTGGAGAATGTTATAAGAAATATTTGGAATGGTATAAGTTAGTTTGACCGATGAAAAACATGTTGGTTTTATGGATGCTCCATATTGATGATAGGATTCATACCTAGGATATGTTTATGTTGTTATAGGTAGAAGATTAAAGATTTGCTACCTAACCAACTGTGAACTTGATTTGATTGTCCATGGCCTATATAACTAGCTGACATGTACTTTGTAGGGACTATTAGAGATTTGCTAGTTAATATTTAATTGTGGACTGGCTCCGATTATCAAAGGTCCGTAGTAGTACTTTTATGATTATAAGTTGGTAGAAACGAGGTTGAGTCTTGAAATGCATGAACCTTATTAGAATTTTATGAGAGTCTTATGGGTGTAATTAAGGGTCTTCAACCACTCTCTAATAGTGATCTTGTTCGGATGAGAGCAAGGGATCAAATAGGTAGACGAGCATTGGTAAGTTCGAAAGTCACCCCTCCATGATTTTTACGTTATGGAGCTTAGTAGGGAGATGTCAACTAAAGTATGCTAGAGGAATTGAGAATAGTGTCCATAATGCTATGACGAGAACTATGGGTTGGAACTCATGATGGGGTGACGCCTTGAGTGCCTATGGTATGTAGGTTGACGATGATGACAAAAAAGACTAGTAAACAACTAATCAAGATACTTTAGAGCCCAAAAATAGAACTTATGAGGCAGTAAATCTTGAGAACCGATAATCTACTTAGAGCTAAAAAAAAATAGAACTTAATGGCTTTCGCACCATTAGCCTAAGTTCAGCTTAGATGAACCGAGTTAACCTTGAGGATAGCCAAGGAAGATCCTATGACTCAGAAATGGGAATGCTAAGTACGAATAAGATAATGAACAACTGAACAAAGTAAACGACATAAGACTTTAAAACTAACTAAGAATCGAGTATTTTGATACCCATTTATGCTATTTCAATTTTTTCAGATGAAAGCTAGACGGCGCAAACGAGACGAGGGTGTACACCGATCGGTAGAGGCGAAGCTAGATGTACATCATTAATTTTCAAAGTCTATGTTTTTGTATGAAGTAAGTGATTGTTTGTAAAAGCGTTTGGTTTTGAAAGGGGACAATACGCAAGAATGAAGAGAGAAAGGTAAAGTCTATTTGGTGAGTGCCACTGATTGTGTGTGTATCGATTGGTGTGCTCTGAGCTACTTATTACTACGGATCAGTTCTCACGCTGCTCCCTCTCACACCACATATAAATCTTCAACTTTCTGTTTCGCTAAATCTATATCAATCCCAATCAATACCTTTCATAGCCTTACGCTTATATGACAATGCCATGCATGGGCTGTGCTTCCACACTCTATTACTGCTTACCCTCACTTATGTAAATATGTACTTTGTACGGTGTTTTCATACACTGTTTCTGTTCTGTCTACCCACACAACACACAACTCTCCAAATGGGCCTCTTCAATTTCAACCCATCTTCACATGTTTACTAGCGAGTTAAATTGACATCTCCGAGAAGAATCAAGATCAAACTTTCTCTCGATTTATCGATCAATAGATTAATTGTATATGTATGTGTGTTAAACCAATATTTGATGAAAATCACAAGCACCCATCAACATCCATCATAATGTCAATCACTGCATGAAAACATTGAATTTAGTATATTTGCCTCTGGAAAAGGGAAACTGAAACACCCGAGAAGAAGGACCATAAAAAACTCCTTTTTTTATATATATATTTAATTTAATGTGTGCCTCTGTTGCTTTTGCTTCTTCCTCCTTTCCCTTTTATTCCTCACATATTGACTTCATTTGCAGCATCCATCCCATTCAAGAACCAATGAGGCCCTCATCGCAAGAAGAAATCAGCCAAAACTCAGGCACAACAAGAACCAAATCATCGTCAAATACGAAACAACAGCAAACCCAACAACAACAACCTCTGAAATGTCCTCGATGTGATTCCACCAACACCAAGTTTTGCTACTACAACAACTACTGCCTCACTCAACCTCGTCACTTTTGCAAGACCTGTCGTAGATATTGGACCAAAGGTGGCGCCTTGAGAAATGTCCCCATCGGTGGCGGCTGCCGGAAAACCAAAAAGCTCAAATCTTCTTCCTCTTCTTCTTCTTCCAATAATTCCAAACTCCTCCCCTCCGGCGACACCCCTGCCTTCAGATTCTTTGCTGGAATCTCACCCTCCATTGATTTCCAATTGAATGGTGGTCTTGGAGTTGGACTCTCATCATCTTCACCACAATTATTCCCAACAACTCCCACCACAAATCATCCATACATGGGCCTCAACTACGACACCAATTTCCCTCTAATTCACCACCACAATACCAACTCAAATTTAAACCTCCAACCTCACTATAATACCAACACCACCCTTGCATCTTCAATTCAATCTTTGAGCTCTCTAAACCAAGACCTCCATTCTAAATTACAGCAACACCGGTTGGCTATGATATTTGGAGACCACGATCATGTGCAAAACAAGGATCAAAATCACAAATTGTTGCAACCCATTTTGTTTCACAATCTAGAGCCTCCAAAACAGGATAGTTGTTTCAATATCCATGATCCTAGAACACAATCTGCAGCAGCTTCAACAACCGGGGAGGATGCCGCTACAACTGAATGGTTCTTCGGAAATAATTCTTATGATGATCGTCATAATCATCATCATCAAGTGAGTGCCACAAACAGTGCTGGTGGGAATGGGTGGAATCATACTAATAATAATAATGGAGTTCAAGCTTGGGAGGATTTGCACCATTTCACTGCCTTGCCCTGAAGCTGCTACAAATTGAAAAAAAAAAAAAAAGGTTGGAGTCTTATCCAAAAGATCATCATAGTGAATAAAATTGAATATTATGTTAGCTCATATTTTAATTCAGTTTAGATGTTTATTTAGTGTTATTGTAAGTTTGATCAAAGAGATGGCATTTACTGTAAGTTAATTTCTTATTGGGTTTGAATTATTCCATTGAAATGCATAACATTTTGTTCTTTCCAAGCAATATATTCAGAAATTGAAGAGACCCATTTATAGGGATGAGAGATTCTGTTTGAAATAAAACAAAAACAACAAAAGGGCTAATGTTAGTTCTTATTTATATTCTCTGCCTGGGTTTTTAAAGTAAATTGGTGATTTCAACAGTTGTTATCATGAAAAGTAAATAAAAAAAAAGTTGAAGTTGATATAGTTTTATTGGTTTATTCATTGGGATCTGAGGAAATAAGTTTTGGAGTGTTATTAAAAGCTAGAAGTTAATAGCATATCTTTGATTTGTTTTATGCAGAGAGAATCAAAAGGTACGCTTGTGTTCAAAGTATGAGAGTGTCAGAGTTTAGATAGTATCAATCCTTATGAGGGGGACTTAATCTGTGCCTTACTCAACATTATGTCAACATGTATAAATGAAACATGGCAGTGTCGCAGTGTGGTTTTGCAGCCTATAACCTCTTGTTCTTCGGCTCTTAGCCTCTCAGGGGCTTCAGTAAATAGCCTGTAGCCTGCACCTTTCTCTGATCCTCTTTCATATATAATTAATTATACAAACACACACACACTGTACTTTGTGTCTGCAAAAACTGGTGGCTTTGGGATTGCATTGAATGAAATGAAGTGTCAATTTGAAGGTGAAAAGGGTTTAGGGTTTGATTAATGTTTATAGGTTGTTTTAAGAGCTACTTGTTAACATAGCATCTCTTCTTGTGTACTGCAGCCTCGAAGATGCTTTGTTTTTTTCCTTTTCTTTTTCCTTCACTGAATCATTGCCTTTTCTGTCACCCCTTTGCTTGCTTTTACCATTTAGTGAAAAGGGTTGGACTTACAGTTCAGTCCCCTCAGTGGTTAAATTTTGTTTTTAACCTTTCAAGTGGTCTCTGTTCAAAGTTGCAGTGTTCATTATAAAATCTTTTTTGAGTATCAAAACCTCAACTATCATTAAACTTAAATAAATATATTAAAAATCAAACAATATTATACGTGAATACTTGATGAGAAATTTTTTTTTTTTTTTTTTGGATGGATGAGACCTTTGATTTATAAACACCATCCTATGGTTGGAATTTATAGACTTCTAAATAGACACAATCTTAAAAGTGGTTGAACTAAGCGCTTTCTCGCCTATTTTGTTTCTCTGGTTCATTTGGATTTCTTTAAAAATTGAAACTTCAAAAAAAACGTAATGTTCTTGGATGCATAAGTATTAGAGAGAGAGAGAGAGAGAGGGAGGGAGGGAGAAGAAACGTATGAAGAGGGGCGAGTAAACGTGATAGAAGTGAGGAACAGCGTGGGATAAGGAAAGCTTTTGTTAGAACTGCAAACTGTCATTTTAGAGACCATGCGAGGACCTCATGACCCATCATATGCTCTACATATATAGATACATGAAACTTCAACACCTCCCACCCCCAAAAAAACCACAAAAATAAATAAATAAATAAATAAAAATTTGGCCTTCCCTTTTTTCAAACAAAATTATGAGTTATTCTTTTCCCTTCGTGTTGAATAGACATTGATTATACGAGAAAGAAAATTTGTCGTGAGACTTTTTTTTTTTTTTGTTTCACACGAATGATTTTCGACCTTTGGGGAGGTGGGTTTTGGGGTTAAAACATGCACGAAAAACAAGACAGAGAAAGGAATCTTCCCCTTTTATGAAGGATTAACAACCACACATATAATTATGATATAATTTTGTGTTTAGTGTTTGCTTCGAATGAGTAATCAAAGATGGTGTCGTTTTGTGGAAATTATTGGCGTTACATCCATTTTCTTTGCAAATAACCTTTTGTTTTTGGTTGTGGTGGTTTCATTTCGGATTGGGAAACAGAAAAGACTAAGGAGGAGAATGTGAGAGCTTTGCTTTATAACGTGAAGACTTTGATTGAGTTGCTTCTCATCACTCTCCTCTTTTTGGCATTTCCTTTCGGTTTTCAATCAGCCATACCCTTTTGTCCCTTTTTCAACCAAAAAATATTGGTCCAATCAAAATTATCAATATTTAAATTTATTACTTTTACGAGAAATATGTTTTACACATAACCAATTTAGATGAAGTTGGCGCAAACTGAACATAACTCGACTAACAAAGACATTGTTAATTAAGAGATCAAAAATACATTTGAATACTCTCATCCGGGATGTTGTATTAAAAAAAAAACTAAATCATGTAGGATTTTGAGATTGTGACCAAAGTCTATGTTTGCTGGATAAGAAAAAAAATCATGGATATATAATTGGAGACAACTACCTCCGATGATATAAAATATTTTGGATGAAACCAAAAGCAAAGGTACGAACACTAGATCTTGAGTTGTCTAGTACAACATATAAACTAGATCAAAACACTACTGAATAGAGAAAAAAACCATAGAAGCTCCTTCGCCAAAATGTGGTCATTTGGTAAAACATAATTGTTAACTCCAAATAGGCAGACACCCTTCGAATTCCTTGTTTTGGCCTATAAATCTTACTCACAATTTACCACAAACTAATGAATTTATTTTCATCAAAAAGGAGGAACTCGACACATGCAGGTCATTTCACTGCAAATTAACGGATTCAAAAAGGAAATTGCTTCGCAAGAACCATTACATTCTAACAGATACTTATTGCCAATTCATTTCTTACCAGAAGCAAAATAATAGACACAAACTCAAATGCAGGTAGCTACTAGTTGACTACATCAAGAACCAGCTTGCGGGACTTCAAAACTGACCACTTCAATCGGCGGTAGTATGCGGCCTGAAGTAGAGCCAAAGAGAGCACGAAGATCCATTTGAATCCCATCTGCCATTCAAGGCCAAACACACATCAGACAAGAGAACTAGAAACGTGAAACAAGCCAACATAGATTTAACATGCAAATTACCAGTTTCCTTTCTTCCATTTCTGGTTCAGCTGCCCATGACAAGAATGACACAACATCTTTCCCCATCTACAATACAAAGGGGCATGGAACTTATAAGTCGATGTACGAAGGATCAATACTTGAGCAAGATGATGCTCGGTCAGCCCTGGTAGATTAGTGCATTCATAATACATATTCTCATATTCTATACAACTTTCGAACTTCGCATATTTTGCAGACTAACCTGTGCTTCTGTTGCAGGGGTACCATCTTCGTATTCAACAGCTCCATCATTAAGCATCTTAGGCATTGCAATTGCTCCGCCAGGGAAATAAGGGTTATAGTGCAGACCCTCTCGGATCTACAAAACCATTCAAAGTGTTCTTCAGAATTGAGAAGAGTTATCAAGCTGGAAAATAATACAAATTTGCTTATTGGTTGGAAATATTTGAATTACGTCCAATTCTAAGCTTTAAATGACCATGGCTCACTTCAAATCGAGTACAACACTATGAACTAATGTTTAACAATGATCATAAGAATAAAAGGCTTGTTTCATATTTATTCAAGAATAGAATACTCAGATGGATAAAAGATACTCCATCAGACTCCAATGAGGCAGGGGAGTAACAAACAAAACCAAAATCAATATGCGAGACATCTGATGATTTCACACAATGAAGAAATACACCTTCCAAAACAGGCTACCTAAGTTCAAACTAGACCTCAGAGGTAAGTTACAATTTTCTACCATAAATAAGCACGAAAATATGACACTCGCAGCTTCTGAGGCCACAAGAAACGTCTATCTCGCACACTAAAAAAAACAAATATGGTTTTATATTAATTTCAACGAAGATATGCAACATGCACATATCTGTTCCATGTGAACTGTACCCACACATTACATCAAAATAGGCAGGCAATAGAAGACATCTAAAACTAACTAACCCTACTGAAGGAAGCTCACACGAAATAATAGAACATGGTAGTATCCCTAATAAGGACAATCAAAATATATCTTCTACTCACACAAGTCCCATAATTTACAACTGTAAATTTGCAATGAGAAATACAGAACATCCTATGGAATTTAGTAAAAATAATGTGGATTAAAATTTACCGAAACACCAGCAGGTGGGTCACGATAACCAGTCAGAAGGGAAAATACATAATTCTGACCATTATGACGAGCCTGAGAGGGAAAAAGATAAAATGGCATTAGAACAAAGTTTATTCACAAATTCTCTACATTATATGCATAAATGATTCTGTTTGTATCACCAAGGGGAAAAAGAACGGATAAACATTTTGGTATCAATAGTCAACACCCATGATTTGATATATACAATCTTGCTTCCTGAAACTACAAGAATGATAAAGAAGAATTACCTTTGTGATGAGGCTCAGATCCGGAGGGTAAGCTCCACCATTAGCAAATCTAGCAGCTTGTTCATTGGCATATGGTTCAGGAAACCGATCACTGAGTTTACCCGGACGAGTGAACATCTCACCCTCATCATTAGGCCCATCCACTACCTCAATTTCAGCAGCCATTGCTTTCGTCTCCTCTTCAGTATATGCAACACCAACCAAATCACGATACGATATCAAAGACATGGAATGACAAGATGCACACACTTGTTGATAAACCTGATGACCACGCCGAATCCTGCTCAGCCAAAATCAACCTTAGAGCATTAAGATTATACACTATCATCAAATCTCTCTCAACATAAGATTATCCACAAGACCATAGGGTTAAACAAATTAATGGATAAGAAAATTGCTCCTTCACTTTGAAATGTTGGCAAGGAATTTAAAAGGATTTGTCTCACCTGGTGCTTACCAGGAAAAGTTTTAAAACTCTTTGAAACCCCTATATATGGGCAAAGATCTAAAGGAGAATCTTATTCTGGCCAGCCTTGCCTTGATAGGTTTAATTGGAAAGAAATTGTAGAATTTTTGCCGACTCTTCTAGGATGATTAGGATCTCAATAAATTACGGGCTCTCTAAATAGTTTTTCTTCTCAATTTCTTTTCTAATTACAGTTCCTTCTTGATATGAACCCAATGAAAGAACTATTAGTAATCCTTTGAAGAGACGATTCCTTATCTCCCCCTTCTTAGACATTTTCAGGGTTCAAAACTAAGATGCTAATTAGAA